GTCCCATGAGAAAATTTGACAGTACTGAACTTGTTTCAGTTGGTGGATTCAGGAAGGGAAATTTCAAGTTAAATTATACTGGATGTGCTCTGGTTACTCAGAGACTCATCAGCTGTTTACTCAAGTATTTATCAGTTTTGTGAGTTGCTAATCCAGTACTAAATGAAATATTTGAGACATAAGGATACATAATTATTTTAAGATGCTCCTTATCTAGTTTGAGCTGCATATGAATTTTCAGAATTCATACACATGCCATTTAGCTCAAGATTTAACAGAATCTCTAGCTATATGGTTCCAATTTCCTATGTAGCAGAAATCAGCCATGCAGAATTGGTCATTTTCAGAAATGGTATGCTTACTTGAAAGACACCTAGAAAAACAGAATGAAGTCTGCTCTAGCTGTGTGATTCCCAAGCTTTTAAGCATGTGGGACCAGTGTCCAGATAGCTGGAAGACTCCACATACACTGAAGGTTCACTTGGTTCTAATGGGCAGCATGTGTTTAATAGGATTACTTTGAAAGCAGGCACACTTATAAGATAAACTATCAAAAAAATCTACTGTATAAACAATCAGATTCCCCAGAATTTGTTTTTATCTAGGCAATAAAGATGATAGTTTCTGTTTATTTAGAAAGAGTTTGTTCATTTTTATACATTATAGATCTGCAGAGAAAGAGAAGCCTTGTTCTAGCATTGCAGCTATGCTTCTAATTTGTACCTAATTTGCACCAGCAGTGTAACTGATCTGCTGGTGCTGTGTGTTCTTGACCTGGCATGGACCCCCAGTGACGAAAAATGAGCCTTTAGTCTACTAACGGGGTAGATTTTGACCTAGGCTGCGGTTAAGTCTTTTAATTTGCAGTGCATTAGAGGCAGGCAGTATGCTGAGATCTGATCCACCAACAGTCCTGTTGGTAGAGATGGTCAGCTGGGAAGATGGAATCAAACAGAATATGGAGAGATTTTTGGGCAGGAATAACTGCATGTTTGACTCAGGAGTTTAGTACCTTGATGGAAAAAGTAGAGATGTGTTTGCTGCCTAAAGTGTAGGCTACAGTACTATGAGATTAGTTCTCTCTGCTTTTTTCAGGTAACTTGGGATGTGTAATGAAATTACTTTGGAGACCTTCCTCCTCTTTCTTCCTGTATTTGGATTCTGGATGAGTGTGCATCCAGTGTATTTTGACCAGCATTGCAGTTAAATCCCAAGTTTACAGTCAAACATATACGTTTCTTTTGGTAACAAAACAGCTGTTTTCCTCTTTTTTTTTCCTCTCAGAAGCAGGTGGAAGCTTGTTATTCCTATAAACTATAAAAAATAAAGTGGATCATGATACAGGTCTTCCAAGATTCCGTCTATTCATCCTTTGGGTCTTAATCTGTGATTTAGTACCTCTGTGACATCACAGAACAGAGGTGCCTGTGCTGTAGGATTGTCCTTGGCTCTGGTTCTCCAGCTGTATGACTCCTGCTGGCATATTGACTTCCTTTTGTTCCATGGAATGCTGCTCTAGTCCTGTCCCCTAATTAGTCTGTGTGATACGTGCAGTACTGACTCCTTATGAGGTTACCTCTGTTTCAAGACTGTTCATCTGCTGCCAAATACAATCTCCTACCTTCTTCTTTTGCTTGGTTGATTTGTGCTACTGCTAGCCCTCCATTCATATGGTTAGAAAAGTGAATTTTGGCCTAGGCACAGATGTTCAGGGCTCTGATTAGAGTGGCTCTGACCAGCCTCAGCCTGGTGCTCACACGGGCTACCTCACTAGCCACACTTAAATTCAGCCCTGGGCCTGCAGTCCCAGTTTGAGCTGCTTTGGAGGCAGCATTGGTGTGGCTCAGCCTCAGCCCTGTGTGGCCCTGGCCAGGACCCTGCTGGTCTGTACCCTGCTCCATGGACTGGCTGCTTGGCTTGGCCCTGGGCTTGCCTTGGCACTACAGACTTGTTTGACCCTGGATCTGCCCTCCCTGGATCTGCCCCCCTGGATCTGCCCCCCTGGATCTGCCTGTCTCTGACTTGTGGTGGCAGCGGCACAGAGTCCTGGCCAGTGAAAGCACCTGCCTTGCTGCCCTTGTTGGAGCTTGACACCTGACTGCCCATCCCTTTAGGGAGCCCCTGTCACTGCTGTCACTACTCCCTGACAGTTTTTGAAGGTGGCTGATACTGTTTTATTGCTTTAGTAAAGTACTAAGCATGAAAAATACTGGCCAGCTTTTGCAGAGCTTTCTCTTTGTCTTTAGCTGGCAGGAGGTGATGCTCATTTCTTGCAAAAGTCGGTTTTACCATAATGTTTTTTACACAGTTCCTATCTGCATATTGGCCTAGCATGTGCTACACTTGATCCACTCCTGGGAAGGACTCACAGTGATCTTCAAAGTTCTGTTTTCTTCTGTCTCAAAGAATATCATTAGTGCTTTGAGATTTTTACCCATGTAGAAAATAACAGGTCAGGGAATGTATATGCTAGAAAACATGTTCTACCAGGGCTTCTTCCTCTGAAAGAATTTCAGTATTGTTTCCTAGCAAAACTGAAAATTACTATTACATTCACAATCCTACCTGATTAGTTTTCTCATGGAGACAGCTTGTTCCCATCATTTTATGATGGCATGTTTAATGTAGCTGTCATTTGCCAGCTGGACACTTGGGAAAATGGGTGTTGCCATTAAAATCTGGTTTCCAAGATTTTAGTTTGGACCTGAAGAGACTCTCCTTTATAATTCTGTTCTCATAGGAGGATTCCTGGAGTAAGTTGTGGTCCATTGTGTTATGCCATTTGGTACCTTTTTTTTTTGGTACTTCTCTGTTGTTTTTATAATTAAAACAAGTATACTTACATGATCCAGATCTTGTTGTATCTTTAAATTACTTTCTACATGTAGAAGTATCAACCTTTATCCCTGATGAAGAAGTGAAAGATTTGAAAATACCCTGATTCAAACTCATATTTAGAATGTTTTACCTAGGAGGAGGCCTACTTTTCCCAGGAAATAGATATGCATTATTTGTATGATTTATAATTATTTTGACATAGTTACAGATTATCTTTTCATGGGTATTTATTTTTTTAATGGACCAACAGACTCAGTCTCATTTCTTATTTTAGGTAAAGTGTCCAAATATAGCACTGGTACCAAATATAGGTTTATTCCAGTTTCATGGCAGTTGCAAAGGAATGGGTTCTAATATTTTAAAGGGTAAGGTCTGCTTTTCCTTTGGGTCTTATTTTTAGTGGCTGCTCATTTGCCACACTTCAACAGGAAACACAGATCCAAATGCCTTATGTGAAAGTTGGGTGATGAGAGGTAGTTTTCTAGAAATATGTCTCTTTTTCATGCATACAGAACAGGAGATTAAATAGGATCCATCAAAGAACTCTTTTCCTTTTGGTTTCACCACTCTTTTGTGTATAGGAAGAGGAAGAAGACAGCGTGAATAATGTTGAAAAATATGTTATGAAAATACTTAAGAAAATAATATAAAAGTTTAAGAGGAGAACCAGAATATGGTGCTAAAAATATTAATGCCTTATTAGGAAAACAAAGACATTGATTAACAAATGCAGAAATAAAAAATTTTGTCACAAGATGAATGGTAGTCATAAAAATTAGAAGTTCAAAGAATGATGTACACTTGCTCTGTAGTCAAAACGTGGTGTTGGTCAGAGGAAGGAATGCCTCATAAATGTCGTCTTACTTTCCTTGCACTATGCAGCTACTGTCTGGGGAGGCAGAGAGGTGCTCTGAGAACCTGGGATACAAACCAGAATTCTATCATCAAAATACGGAAAATTGGAATATGGCCATGAAAAATGCACATTCTAGCCCAGCCCTGGGCAGGTGATAAGCAGAGGTCCTTTCCTCCCTCTAGCACATCGTAAGGCCAGAAAGGGGAGAGGGATAATAGATTCAGTAGCGAAGAAAAGATTCAAGATGATAAATTGATTTGAGGTTAATATTCAGCTCTTTGAAGTTGGACCTTCTTAGTAAAGTCTGTCTTTGTAATCAAACATTTTAGCTTTAAGAAGTCAAGAGCAGGGAGAAGAGGAAGGAAATGCTCAGATTTCCTTTTAAGGATTTGAGTGTAGTTTAAAAGCACCGTGCACTGCTGGTACCATGGCAGAAAGAGGAGAAAACTGGATGGTCGTGAACGTAACTTGTTCTTATGGAAGGAACTGACAACTCCCACTGCTGTAACCTACACTGGGCTGACCTAAGTGTAGGCCAATGTTAGAAACTTGCTTCGTAATGCTGTTCTCACAGGATGTCATAATACCTTTTTAATGGTGTGTACTTTCTAAACTGATCTCTATTTCCTCACAAAAGAGAAAGAAAAATATGAGAAACAGAAAAGAAGTCAAACTTGGAGTGACTTTAGATGACAAACAAGTGGAAAAATGAGGATTGTGTGTGAGGATTGGAAAAATGAGCAGGAACAGAAGTTGAAAGTTAAGTTGGAAAGTAGTTAACCAACGAAAGTATTAGTCAGGACACAAAGTGACTGTATGGAATATTGATTACAAGCTCTTTAAAAGAGCATTTTTGCACAGCAACCCTTTGTCTATTCCATAACTGTACAGTGGGATCAAAAAACTATTAGACATACAGATTGAGAAGTAAATCTCTAGCTTCATTATGTAAGGTAGCAGCAGGAGACATGCTGCTCCATGCAGTGGAGTATTCTGGTAGCCAAACGATATTTCAATTTTAAGGACATAGCTATCCCCTTAATGCTTTTTTATGCAAGAAAATTTGTGAAGTCAGCTGCTTCCCTAACAAAACAATTGAGCAAAAGGGTACAAATAAAAGCTGTGAGTTACTTGGGAAAGTGTTCGTATTTAATATACTAAATGGAGTTAAAAGCAAGGAAGAATGCTGAGGTGCAGTGGAATATGTGTGAGGCTCTGGGATTTGTTTCCTCCAAGGTGCTCCACGTCTGGGCTTCCCTTCACAGGGCTCCATGTGCTTAACCCTCAGGCTGCAATCATAGCTCACCCTTTTTCTTCCTCCCCAGGCTGTGGGTTTGGTTTTGTTCAATGGCATCTATAAAAGTCCAAGTACTCCTTGATCCTTCTTGTACTGTTGTGATTTCAGCTGCTGAAATCCAGAGTCATTGCGATCATGGCTCTTCCAAAAGGACTGCAATAGCAAGAACTACTTTAGCTGTAGAAGGCAGAGGATAGGAGAGAATCTCTTGCCCTTTTTCATCACCCTGTCTGCCAGTGAAATGCAGAAAGCAGGGGAGTGGATGTATACACCTTCATGGGGGGTAAAGAAATCCCTCAGTGCTTCAGCTGCAAGTATTTCCTGAATCCAAGAAGGTAGGATGGGGAAAGGCATTTTTCTTTCTCCATCCTTCTCAAGTACACTTTTTTTTTTTTTCAAGGAAAATGCATTATTTCAGCAGTCTAAATTACCTGTCTGCTCAGTCACACATAATGTGGCAAGAGACTTCTTTAATTCAAGTGTTTAATTTAACACAAACACTATTTTAAAAATAAAATTAAAAGAAAATAACTTCATAGAAGAAATTTTGAGTAAAGTGTCACAGCCAGTATCTTTCAGTAGTTCAGGATAAAGCACAGTGGTAATTTATTTTAACCTTAATACATCTGAATAATTAATTCAGAAAGGAATGCTTCCTGGAAAAATGAAATGAGGTAATGATTGGAAATGCCTATCTGACAGCTATAAATATGGCAGCCATCTTTACACATGACTTCATCAACATAAAAATTTTCTCCCTTCTTTCTTTTTTTAAAGTAACCTGTAGATCAGCAACTGGAAAAAAAATGACCATTTAAAATAAAACCAAAGCATACTAGATTTTCCACTCGATCATGTAATTTGTACTGAATTTCTTGTACATTCAGCCTTTTTCCTCCTCTGTTAAATTTTTACATGGAACACTGAAATAAAAACCTAACACCTTTTCTTAAATAGTATTAGAATATGCAGTGTCTGCTGCTTTTCCTGTTAGTGATTTCTGGAAGATGGTGTCTGTCCAAAGCAAATGAATGCTATTTTAATTACTTGTTTTAAGAATCAGTTAAAGGTTGGTTGTGCTGTAGCAGCAAATTTGTTTTGGCCTTCATCTTACTTTTAAATAGTTTTTTGGTTTAGGTGTTTCAACTAAGCTGATTCAGTGGCATTGATGTTGCACCTGTAGTGACAAAACATGAATTAATTCTTTTCACTTGTATGCAAAATGCATAGAAATTGTCATTGTCTTGTTCTAAAGTAACTCAGCCTGAAATATGTAGTCATCCTCCCTCCATGTTATCTTGCATTAAGAATTTGAGAGTTAAACTCTACAAACATTGAGGCTGTAGGAAGTAGAAAGGAAGTCTTTAAAAGCTTCTTTTAACTCAGGTTTTTTATTTCTCATGTATTTTATGTCTATTATTACTTTTCTATGTCTGTTATTACTTTTCTATTAGGAATTTGGTCAACTTTCTAAGCTGATATACCTTTAGCAGAAAGCAGTAGCTGTGATACTTTTGAAAAGTTCAACAAACTTGTCCTCTTTGAAATCCAGGTGCAATTGCCTCAGGAGAAAGGTAGTAAGCAAACTTCATAAACTAATTGATATTTACATGCCCTTTAAGACTGACAGTTAATTTTTTCCAAGATGCATGTCAGTACTTTCTTAATAAGGACTGTACTATCTAAAGGTCCTTTTTTTGTTTTGTGTATTTTTATTTCCATGAGTAAGTGATAGGAACTTTCTCCCAAAACATTGTGATGGCTTTTTCTGATTTTGGTTTTTGTTTTTCTTTTTTTAAACTATAATTTTGGACTTTCTATCTCAATTATATACCTAAAATAGTTATGCTATTATTTTTGCTATGTTTCTAAGTAAAAGCAAAGGCGTTTTTATGTTGAAATTACTGACATCTTATTTCTTCCATTTAATTGTTGCCAAGGTATTATGGTTTCTCTATCTGCTGCTGCACAACTTATATCTGAAATAGCTCATCAGTCATAAATTGATTATTTCTATTGCCTATGTACTTTCATAATCTGCAGTGTAGTGGTTGTTGAGGTTTGCAGAGAAGTTCTGATCATGGCTGCAGCAGTATGCTACAAGTTGGGCATAGTGTTGAGTTTCAAGTTGCTCTGTGCTGCGAAGGCTGTGCTTGTGCTTATGAACCAGCACAATTCATCCAGTTCACTGGGATAAAGCTTGAAGGTACAGGAGCAGGTATGAACAGATCTCTTGTCTTAGCATGGAGAACAGAGCACCAGCTTCTGAAATTCAGGGAATTCTGCCTGTATTTTTCATAGAGGAAAAAATTAAATGCATATGGAAAGAATTAGTTATATGACTTATTAAATGGGAATGTAGTACAGCTTTCTGTGCTCAGAAACTCATCCTAATAATATTCAGTTAGGCTTCAGTAAGATTGTTCATTATTTGCAGAAAATATACTGCTCTGTGGAATGATCAGCAGAGAGGAGACTAAAATCACAGGTACTCTTCATTTACTTAAATTTGCTTTTCTGCCTGCCATTAAAGAAGATTCACAACTGTGCCTGTGCTATATATTTATTCAGAAAAACTAGTTCATTTTGTGAAGAACAGCAAAACAAGACAGAGTTTAATTTTATGGAAGCAGTAGTATCTGCATGAAGGAGCTTTCATCATTGGAGCTTCTGTTACACACTGCAGTCTGAAATGGTGTGTTATTTTAAAACTTCTTCAAGCACTAAATCTATTTTCAGAGTATCATACTTGCAGCTCTTCTGTTGGAAGTGTTTTGAACTCCAGTTTAGTTGGCAGTTTGCTCACTATCCTTTTTCCTTTTGTGGTACATCTAGATATTTAAAAAAAATATGGAAGGACAGATTGGCTTCCTGACAGGGTTTTGATGGAAAATTTCCTTAAGTTTATTTGGCTTTACATTTTTAGTCTGAAGACTTTGCCGTAGGTAACCAGCGTTCAAAGTACCTGTAGTGGCAGCTCTGCATTTAGCTGTCAGCACCACGGTATAATCTGCAAACCTTAAAAGGGGAGAAAATACTTCTTTACTGTAGGTCTTGAAGGGAGATGTTGTATTTGTGAGAACATAGTAATGGAGAGTTCTCAATGATTTTTGTCAGAAAGTACCATTAAGGTTACAGTGTCAAGTTTTCAGAAGCTGCAGATTTGGGCTGTCAGTCACCATTCTATAGAGTCCCCAGCCTGTGACCATTCAGATCATTTGGGAGAACCACTCTTGAGGTCCATACTGAAAATCTCATTCTGCCTCTTTAAGTGTTCTGAAGCTTGTACTGCTCCCTCAAGGGGAGTCAGTCACCTGAAAGGGTTCTTGTGCCCTTGAGAGCCCAGTCCTGGCCAGCCAGCATCGCAGGGCCTCCTCCCTGACGTGCCCTCGCTGAGCACGGTGCTCGCAGGTACTGCAGTGGTGCTGCCAGGAGCACAGCACTGCAGGGCTGTGTATCAAAAGGGGAAGAGGAGCTGAAAGGTGGTCTGCTGATTTGGGAGGCAGAAATGGGCAGGCTTTTCTGGAGCTGCTGAACAAACACAGCATTGCGAGACAGGTTAGGCAGGAGAAGGTGGGATCTTTATGGGCAATAGTGGGAGTCTGTAAAAGGAAAGAACTGAGAGGGAAGATGTACAGTGACAATTATGTCTAATTAATAGAGGTCAGATTTTGCCTTGCTGGAGAACCGATATCCAAATGCAAATATAACAGAATCTGGACTTTCAGCAGCAGTGTGAATGCTAATTTCCTATAGTGCTTTGGGAGTTTGACTGTATTTAATTGCAGTTTTGAGGAAGACTACTTTATCTTTCACGTCTCATATGAGAGGAAAAGACAGGTTGGTAAAGCTAGTTTAAAAATAGCCTGAGGAGTCTGACATACTCAGCTATGTATACAAAGCTCACCAAATTACAAAAAGAAATATAATACTTAGTAATGGTGTTCTTCTCAATTTCACCAACATTTTTATTTCCTGCCTCCTGAAATGTTGAGATATTTTCAAGTACCTGTATTGTGAGTTCATGTGGTTTACTGTCTGACATATGAGACCAGGTTATTCTTGGGTCGTATTTTTGAGATATCCCCTGGAACCATATGGATAAGAACTATGTATTTACATGAAAGATGAGAATATAGTGTGGTTTTTTGACTTCAGGAGCTGGAACTTTAAGAAAGGCTTGCACTTTTGCTTGCTTAGTCAAAGCAGGTTATTTGATGGGTTGGATCATTATAAATCAAAATTTCTTCAGCTATAATACACAAATGAAAGAGAGACAACATCCATATCCTACTAGGATTGCTCTAGGAACAACATCCATATCCTACTAGGATTGTTCTAAAGGAAAGAGATCCGTTTCAGGAAGCAGTTGTGACCCTCCAGAGAGCAAATGGGCACCTGGGTTCCCCTGGGGCCAGGGATGAGAGGTAGCAGGTTCTGACTGATAAGGCAGGATCAGGCTGTTCGGGTAGCAGGACTGTGCTGGTGTAGGGCTGACTGTAAAACCATAGGCTGCTTCCTGGTTATGTTTTAAGTTGTGATCTATGTTTTATAAACTTGTTAATAAAAGGAGGTGCTGTACCTTTAAGTAGCACATGCCGTCTAACCATCAACAGGCATCCCTTGCAGCAGCTTTAGCCTGTTTCTCCAATCATGCCTGCCTAAGTCAATAACGCTTTGCCAAAGCTCCTCGTGCATTAAAGGTTACCGTTTAGCTTGTTCCATGAATCACAGCAGATGCATAACTTGGCAGTGACCATTTCTGTCCCTCCCCTTCTTCGCTTCGTACTGACTGCAGCCCCCCAGCTCAGTGCTGGCCGAGCCCCCTCCCCCAGCAGGGAGAAGTCATTACATGAAGAGATCAACTTACCAGTTGTCTTCAGAGCAGTGGCTGAGAGCAAAGCTCCTGGTCGGACCGTGAGTGCGAGAGAAAGGGGGAGAGGGAGACAGACTCGTACCTACAAGAGCTCAGGGCTGTGATCCTGAGACACAAGTGCATCTGCTAGCTGTTAGTACTTGGCAGAGGGTTTGCTCCTCCAGGGTAGCTCTAACTTTGGGTAATAATGTTTGTCAGCTACCTGATACTAACGTTGCTCTGCTTTCAAACAGCAATGTTAGCAAGACCTGGGGGTGAGGTAAGCAAAGTACAATGTCTTGTCAAAAATCGTCTTGTCACAGTTGCATTTTTTTCATATCTGTTAAGATGGACTGTGAATGATTTTTATGCTGTTAGACATTTTAGAACTGTGTTGTTTGTGTAAAAAACTTTTGCTTTGGTTTAGTTTTGGGGGCTTGTTTTGTTTGGGGGATTTTTGTTTGCTTTTTTGCTTTGGCTCTGTTTGGTTTGGTTCCTTTTTTTCTTTGTAAAAGCCAAAAGGTACTATAGGAGAATAGTTTGAAACTTAACTTCTCTGGATTTGGTATACAATACACTTTCTGTGAGAGATGACTAATTTGTGAATTTTTCTTTACTAACATACAGAGAAATATGATACTCTGCAGCAGTAGATGGTATTGTTTCGTTCATATTTTCTGCAAAAATGTGCACTAGTGAAAAATTTTTTGCACAGGATGAATTTTGGGGATGTGAGCATGTAAAAACTCCAGGCTTCATTACTTTAATAACATTCTTTTTGTGCAAATACATGTAATGTTTAGTCCGGGGCCGGGCACAAAGAACTTGAGTTTTAAAAAACTCTATATCATACAATCAAAGAGGGACTTTATGTGTTCCTAATATTCCTAATTCCTAAATCTTCAACAGTGGAATGGAACAGCTCTTTATGTCCTTTAAAAAGTTGCTGCTTGATTTATGAAGAGCCATTTTCCAGATTTTTGTCCTCATCAGAGCAGTTTGTCATCAAGTACTTATTTCATACCAAAGCAGAAATTTTGTGCTACTCTTTTGCCATTTAGGAAATAACTTAGCAGGCGTGGTACTATTTGATATAAAATATTCCATCTAATGAAATTACTTGCAAAAAACACATTTGATGCTCACTCTCCCTTGTTCTACCTGAAATGGGATGTGTAGCTGTGCATTTTAAACAAGTCATTGGATAAGTTTGTTCCATAAATATGCCTTCCTTAAGTAAATCTTCTGAAAACAGTGATTCTGCTTTAAAGCTTTATTGGTGCTGTCATAACTTAATAGTAGCCTAATGAAGTCCAGATCAATTACTTTCCCTGGTAAAGGTGTAAGTGAACTGGAAAAAACACCTTGTCCAAGACTGTGTGGAGCTATCTCTGTAGCTCACACATCTAGAAATAAACTTTATTTTGCTTCTAGGGTGTTTTAATAAGAGAATCTGTAACAGCTTTGTTTCAAGAAAATGTCTCTTAGTGAAATCTTGTGCTGCCTTTGATCTGGTTAAAGCAGGGAAAGGTTTTCAGCAGTGTCTCAACAAATTTAAATGGTTTGATGATCACAGCAACTGGAAGCTGATCATTGCCCTCTAGTTGTCACAGAAGTTTTTAACTTCCTGGTTGATTGTTACGGAGCACAGAAAATGATAGATGGACTCACCTTGTTCAGACTGTGGGACCTTAAAATCTGTGGTGGCTCATATGGAAAATATTTCTGTCACCACTGGGTGCACATGTGGTCTTCAGAGATCCATATAAAGAACAAATCTAGAGCAGCAGCAGTGCTGCTTGCCAATTATCCTCGTTAGCAAGTAAAATAAAAGCAATGCTGTGTTCTTACCTGGAAATTAATTTCTGCTGTAAAAGTGCAGTGTGGAATGTTTTAGCACTGTGATCCATATGCCAAGTACTTTAAACTGGACTGTTTTTTCTTAGTTTTTCAGCTAATAAAGCAGACAGAATATAAAAAAATTGGCCTGTTGCTTTATCAATGAATTTTAGGTTGTAGATTTTAGCATAGGTAGTGAGAAATTTTCTCCTTTATTATGTTAATATGCCTAATTTCGGAAATTTTATAATAAAAATATACTGTTGTCTACTGTTATTAATATAATATTTCTTTGTCCTGTATTGTAAGAGACCACCCGATAATCTTGTGCATTTCCCTGCTCCAGCTGCAGAACCTTGGCTACATAAATATTATTTCTCTAGGAAATTACTCAGTAAAGATTTTTCACTGTGGTTGAGTGAATTGAAGACAGAGAAAATAAGTGAGAAGCCATTTTTTAAAGGAACCTGAATTGTTGTTCTGTGGTCCTTTGAACTGTTTTGTATACTTCTCTGAATATTTTAATTGATTTATAGGTATGTATTTTTAAAAGTTCTTCTCATAAAAGTGTCAGTTTTTGACAGGTTATGAAGTCAGTGGGAAGTTGCTTTTCTTGTCAGCTTGTTTTGTCTGTATTTTAATGCTGAACTTTACTGTTCAAGAAACAGAAAATAACAAACATTCAAGTATGTTTTCCCCCATATAATTCTTAAGGAACCCCTAACACTTGTTCTAATGTGTGTATGATTATGTTGTGCTTTTCATTTGTTGTTGATTTAAGGCATGACTTGGCATGAAGTCAGTGAAACTGCATTGCATCACTTTTCCATCCAGGGAGGAAATAAGGTTGTATAGATTTGCAGCTTGCACCACATTTGTATGGCCAAGCCCAGAGCTTGTGTGTGTGTGCTTCTCAGCAGATGAACATGCTGAACTCCTAGCAAAACAATGCTTAATCAAGCTTTCCCTCTTCTCACTTCTTTTATCTGGTGGTTTAGAATCAGCTCTAGCAGGAAAATTGTTGGTTTGAGTAGATACATTGTGCTTGAGAAATCTTGGAGCAAGCAGGGAGTTTTCCTGAGGAATAGCTTATCCCTCTATTTTCAGGTATTCCTAAGTCTGTCATTATTCTTCACTCAAAAGCAGGTAGCCTTTTAAACTGTTTTACCAGAGTACTTGTCAAACATTTGCATTTGGGAGTTTCACATGCCTTGGGATTTTAATTGTTTCAACTGAATTTTCCCATTTTAGTAGCTTCTTTAATCCCATACAAATTGACCATAAGTCGGTAATGTCAGCCCTATCTGCCTCAGTACAGGTGTCAGTGAAGGTGTGCAAAGTCATCAGCCTGGCCTTCTCAGCAATAAATTGAATTGTTTTCTATTACTTCAAATTGACCATAAGTCGGTAATGTCAGCCCTATCTGCCTCAGTGCAGGTGTCAGTGAAGGTGTGCATCAGCCTGGCCTTCTCAGCAATAAAGCAAAACCAAATTGTACCATTCTGAGTTTGGTTTGAATTGTTTTCTATTACTTTAAAAAAAAAAAAATCAGTCTATCTGACAAAATGTGTGGACAATGGGAAGGAAGCCTCACATATAGCTTCTGTGTTGATTTGATCTGTATTTTAATGTGATAAGTAATCATAATCTAACTAATCATCAACATACATAATATATGACTTAACACAGAACTTCCAGCATGTTTAAGTGAACAGGAACAGGTTTTAAGATACCTAATTCTTTTCAGTCCTTGAGCAGTAGTAGTTCAGATAACAGCATGTTTTGCCACATTAATCAAGCTGTTTATAGAAGCAAGAGTTTTGTTTAAATTTGTAGATACTGTTCAGCTTCAGAGTATTGAATACTAGATGCTGTTCAGCTTTCTTCATAAAGTAGTTCAACATGAAGTGTAGAAGATACTAAACAGTGTCCTCAAGAGTTGTTTTAATATATTTTTATTATAAATAAATTTTCACAGATGTGGAATGCTTCCCTTTGGAATTCGGGCATAGAGGGGGTGAAAAAGTCACGCTCCACCCTCTAAAATGAGTAGAGGGAGCCTGAGCAACTCTGAGTGAGATTCTTGGTGTGCTGCAGACACTGCTGGTTCTCATCTGTGGCTCGTGGGCCAGCAAATGGAGCAGTTGTTCCACACAGTGTCCTAGTTGATAGACCAGGAATAAACAGACAGGAGTGCAGCGGGAGCTTACTGCCATAAGCTCCTGTTCACTTCCACCTCCACACTGCTCAGCCTCTGCAGTGTGTGTAGCTTGTCCACAGGAACCAGAGAGGCAAAGCAAACTTAGCAGCATTTTAAGAGATCATTCACTGAACAGGGTCAGGTGTCACAATCCTCACTGCACAAATGCAACCCATTGCAAGAAATAGCTCAGTGTTCATCCCAGTGAACAGCTCAGTGTTCAACTCCGTGTTGTTACTTATTTCTGTGTGGTACAATATGAATGGAGCTCTCCCTTGTTGATCTTGCTCAAGCAAAAAGCAAGAATACAAAAAAACCCCAAACAAACCCAAACACAAAAGACCGCAAACACCTTGAGGTCACGGTCCTTTTGACCCTCTTGACTGACTGCTCTCTTGTCAAAGAGGAGCTCTCTTTCCTGAGGCTTACTGGAGTAAAATTTCTGACCCTACTCAGCTGAATCTTCCAGTGTTCTGTGGTCAGACCTGCTGCACTTGTGAAGAGGCAGGGAGCTCCCCAGCAGGTCACATCTGCAGCAGCTAATGTGATTTTGGCCAATTCTGTGAAAGGGCTGCATGGAGAATGAACATGGCAATGCTTGTGCTGCATGACTGTTGGTGGTCTCAATTTATTTCATTCAGCTGTAGCTTACCAGCCATACTGGACTGGCCAAAATGACTGTTGTATCTGTGGATTTTGTCATCTTCAATTTTTTTATCCTTATGAGAGTCCTGTAAGGTTGTGCTGTTACACAGCTGTTACTTGTAAAGTCCTGGACCACATAGGTAAAATACAATTCAGAGGCTCAAAACGTTATCAGTAAAAGCAACTTTTACATATGCTTGAAAAATCAACCTTTCTAGCACATGGATGGTTTATATCTGAGCACTGTCTCAAAGAAGCTGTGTGTGGCCAGGAGATCAACTAGTTCAGTTGTGTCTGCCCAGTCACGAGGATCGAGTTGAGCTGATGCCACACCTTCAGTCATGGGCAGGGAGCTCATGATGCAGCCCAATAAAACAAGCATTTCCATCTCTGACTTCCACAGGGCCAGCATATAAGAAAACATCATTTCTTCCACTGACATACAGGCAAAAATAATTCCTCATC